TTTTGGTGAAGGTAAGAGCCAATGAACTCGGCACTTGATTTTTGAGGATACGTTGAGTTGGAGAAGACTCTCTAAGTATCTGTTAACAGCCAGAAGCAACTGCAGAGCGAAAGGAAATTAGATATATTAGTTTGGTCTGAGAACCTTCAGTAATATACATGCATGCATATAGTCTCGCGAAGTTATTGTAGAGAATTCGAAACTGTGAATTTTTTACTTGATTGCTGAGAGTGTGAATAGGAATTGGTGATTGCTTCATCGTGAAGCACAGACTTCCAGAAATGATATGTTTTCAATAGTTAACTGTCAATTATCATGATGATTATGATTATCATCCACATGTGAATCGAAAATACAAATATCCATCTCTTTCATGATCATTCCACGGCTCATGTGAATGCTGTTCAAAAACTTCAACGTCTTCATCGACGTCATTCTCATCAGCGCAGACGTATTCAGAATGATTGTCATCATCAGCATCATTATTATCAACCTGTATTACTGAGGAAATCTATGAATATTTTTCAGAAGGGCAGACTACTTCAAGTGGTGGATCAGTGCACCAGTGGTGACCGCGCCTCAATGTAGACGAAGCGGGAATCGTTGACTTTCGTACGATTTCTCAACACCAAATTTTGCACTCACCTTCGATGCGAAATGTGTAGTACTCAGTGCGATATTGTGGTCCACAAGATTTGCAGCGTTTATCATTATCAATTTTTGCATAATACTTTACTAAGTAGTATCCTCAGTAGTCAGTGTTTGAGATTACACAAATTGGTGATTTATTTCTTTTCAGTTTGGCCTACACACTAGCCATAAGTCTTGACCAAATCAGAAATGTATAGAATTGAAAGTCAATGTGAGTGTCACACTCACTCTGAAGAATGTGGCCAGTTTGTTTACACTGTCAGTTTTGCTTATCATTTATTGACCTTGTTAGATGGAGTGAGGCCTGAAAGTCCATGGTGTATTTTTCTGCACAAAGAATACTAGAGTCTTTGAATTCCAGTTTACCACCTACACTAAAAAGTTGTTTATCAGTTTGAATTACGTGTTTGTGTGACGCAGTATGCAATATCACTCAGTCTACCTCAGTTTATTCAATTCTGAATCAACAAGAAGTATCATTTTCACTACTGGCTCTCAATGATGAATCAACAGTCGAGTGGCATGCATGCTGACTAGGAACGGACTAAGTCAGATGCCTGGATGTATGAATCACAATGAAATAGCGATTGTGAACTTGGAAAGGCAAAATGGCTGATGTTGACTGAATGAAGACGTTAGTGGGACAATGTGAAACTGGATAGTAGTTGTAAACTGAAGTATTTCACGAAAACCATTTCTTTTAACTCTAATAACTCTCATGACGTGTGGGATGGGATCATTACATGATTAAGCATTTTAACTGAAAGAATCTATCCAGTTAGAGAAGTCATTGATATCTGGAGGACATTTTCAGTCATGTCCTATTGCAAAATGGACAGGTTCTGAAGCAGTTTAATCTCACACTGTATTTACAAACTCACAGCGACTTAGTTGTTCAGGATTTCGGAAGGTTCAGTATTTACCTCGTAGGTATTTGGCCTGGATGTTGTCCATTTTCATGAAGCAAATCTACACTGATGACTTCAGAAATGTTAAGATGAGGTAAACGGAATCCTATAGCACACTCGCTTGATCACTGTTGGTGGATGAAGAAGAACAAAATTTGCATATTAAAATGAACCCCTCTTATTTGGTGACTTTTCATCAGCTACAAGGCAGTCTGAAATAAATAGATAAACAATTAAAAGCATTCATCACTCGTTGCAAGTTTAATAGAGGTGATGATTGTTGAGAAAGTGGGATATATACTGAATTCGTTAATTTGGGTGGAACACAAATGTGACATCATCGGTTGAGGCTTATGAATATGGGGATGAAGAATTTTCTGATAGGTCGTTTGGCAGTGGAAAATATTCGAGTGGGTGTGGGAATGAGATAGAATAAAGATGAATTAAGTCAATGTAAGTTGGAAGGATGTTATGTATTGATGGAAATATTCTAATTACCCGTAGTTAGACAGACTGGTTTTATTGATAACGCATGATGATTGAAGGTGAGTTGGACACCTGAGTTGCCTCAGGACTCGAATCAGAGGTCTGTATCTGGAGTTGGTGAGCTAGTACTCTACCAACGTAACTACGACACCTTCAAACGTCACGCATAGTGAAGGGGAGGTTACATTCGGATAAGGATTTTGACAACAGTACATGACCAAATACTGAATAGGATATTTTGCCAATTTATTATGGCAGTGATAGTGACAATGGCAATGTTAAAAAATAATTGTAATAATAACAATGGTAATTACTACAATTGTAGCAATACATTTAGGTGAAAGTTGGTCAGGTTGAAGGTAGATTACTTCATTCTGAACACATTGCTTAATAATCAGCTGAGAGGCTTGAAAAATAAGTAGAGTTAAGCATGATGACAACGTCAGTCGCCATGTGGAGATAATGATATGCGTATAAGAATGGATACAGGGTTGATTGTACACAGGTGGATTGAGTCTGATCAGGCATGACCAGAATGAGTTTCTGACATCAGTGTTAGATAAAGTAATGTTAAACTACTCAAATGTCATCCTCATATTAGTTAGTTATGAAAAGCGGGTCATTTGGTATATCTTCCAAAATGTTTTCTTTCAGAGTGAGGAGTTTTTCAATTGTTAATTGTTTTCCAAATATCTAGCAAGCGAATACCGATAAGATGTATAGTAAATTCTACACATCATCAGTGCTCAAGTCCAATGTCAATTTGTCAGAGTCAGTAGCTATCTTTTCAAACTGAAGCCTTAAATAATAGAGTTAATTTTTTCTATATCTCATTT